CCCCAGCTAAGTTGACCAGCCTTGTTTTCCTGGTGTTGAGGGACTGTTCACCATTACTAGCTGGTTAGCAGTTCCAGTCCCCCTCCTAAACCTGGGTTCTAGTGAAAGATTACTCCGTTGCATTCCCTTTAGTTTCGGAAGGGGAGACTGAGTCATGGTGGCGTAGTTTAATTCAGTTACACACCAATACCCCCCCACCCCCCGCCATAAAAAACCCATAAACAGCCCTACTGTCCCCCGAGTACCCGGGAAACAAACAATGAACTTTATCACCTTTCAGAGGTTAAAGAGCTGCACTGAAGGCAGTTCTTTATGGAAAATTCTAGAATTCTTAGATCAAACAATGGGGGGGGGTAAGAAAAGGATGACATCATACGAATGGACATTTTAGTTTAGGTGCTTTTTAGGCTTGAACCGTGAATTTAAGAAGGATGGGCTATTTCACCAACTTTATAACTGACTCCCCATGAGTTGTCAATACGCCCATACATGCGGTTAATTAAACAAGTCACCCCCGCAGAAACCAGTTCTGAAATTTCTAATTCCATACACACCCTTCAGTAAAGTCCTGCCACCAGAGACGGCCACCGGTCAATAAACAGAAACTGGAGACTGACTTCCAGCTATATGAATTTGTCACTTAAAGAAAACCTCTTGCATAACTTTCCCCCTGCAACTTAACGGGGAGCGCTGCTTCACGAGGCTAGTTAACCAAAACGAACCCGACCCTGGACCCTCTAGATAAATATTTTGGTTGAAACTGGACATGGCTAGCATTTTTAAAGGATGCAGCAGCCACTGTTTACCTTAGTTCGAGTCTGATGGAAAATAGGACATCCTTAAAATAATTTACTTCGAAGTTTTATTACTTATTACCCTAATTTTTTTTAAAAAAATTTTTAGAGAAAGGATTCTCCTCCCTAAGTGGGCCAGTCTGTAATGCAGACCAGGCATTTAAACCAGAACTTCTCTTTTCTTTTTTTTAAAAAAGAGGAAGCGAGGTTCCCAGTTTGCCTGCTTTGTGGAGGAAGCCATAGGTAATCTCCAAGGATGTTAAATTTAGCCTGCGAAAGAGACATACAGGGAATTCTTAGTGTGAGTCTAGAAATTTTATTTTTATCTTGTCCAAGGAGCCTTCTTTTTTCTTTTTCCTCACTGTGGTATTGCAACAAAAACAGTTTCCTCCTTGACCAGGAATTCCCTGTAGAACTGGGACGTCGGGTGTGGGGTCTTTCCCTCCCGTAAATGTCGCTTTGTCAGTGCTGGGCTGAGCTGTTCCACTTGCCTTAACTACTGCAGACTGCGTGCCGGTTACCTGTGTAGAGTAACTTGTAATTCTAATCTGACTTTCAGAAATAGAGGTCAAATTCGGATTTTCCTAACGCACAGCTAACTCTTCCTTACATTGAGTGCCAGAAAAAACAGCACCATTAACACCGGCTGAGCTAATGAGCTAATCGATGATAAAACCACAGATGGCTTAGCCAGGCTCCCCCTCCGACTTTCTGGGTGGGGTGCCCACCGGTCATGAAGACTGGATTTTGAGAGGTGTTTTTTTTTTTGTTTGGTTCTCGAAGTCCAGGTATGGTTTTAACTGATGACAATTTATGGGAAACAATTACTCATAAATAAAAACATTTTATAGGTAGTTTCAGACTGCAGGAAGAGAAGTCTTAGTGTTGCAGCAGATGTCATGGGCAGCAGTTAGCGTGTCCATGCTTCTTGTTCAGGTACAACACTGAGGATTGAGGTCTGGGAGCACGAGGACCTCCATAGGTGCTACCGTGTTCTCCAAAGAACAGATAAATCACTGCCTGGCTCCCTGGTGCATGTACATTTAGTGAAAGCACAAGAAAATAATTATCAGTCCCTTCTGTCCCCAACCAGAGTCTCCAGAGGGCTCTGTTAATACTGCAGCCAAGGTGTGGAATTCTCCCCTCCATGGCGCACAGCCCCAGGAGACATTCCAAGTTCGCCAAAAAGGCAGCGACCTACGGATTAATGGGGTGGTGGCCCTTGGCTGAGGAATGGAGAGAGGCTGGGTGGGGATTTTGTGGAATTGCGGTGCCTTGCAGATTAGGTGAGCTTTCAATCTCTCTTTAAAAGGGGCGGCGAAGAGGACCCGCAGGCTGCCAGGAGCAACAGCGATGGGTAGGCACATTCAAAACAGAAAAACTTTTAACAGACAGACATGAAGATCATACTGGGAAACTGAGGGCAGAGCCCCGGGAAGAAAGCAAAAATTATTTAAGGGCCATCATCCATCTTGGTATACATTTGCAAACAACACAAACAGCTTCATACATCTCACAGCACGTGAACTGCAAAACAGTTTCTGTTGTTTTTTTGGCCATCCATAAAGTGTAATTAGATCCAGCTGGGGGAGCGCTGTAGATTCCAGCTTTAGACGATAGTTTAGGATTTCCAGAACTGCGCTTTTTCCTTACGGTTCCTGTCCAGTCCAGTCCCCCATGCCACCCACCCCCAGCTCTCCATTTGAATCTGCTACTTGTTTTTAAAACTGTCTAATAAATCCCATCACCCAGTGGTTGGTCTGACTTTAAAATTTCAGGCCTCTGAGAAAAATTTTCTGTTTAAATACGTGGTGCTGCACTGTCCTTGAATGGGGACAAAACTCAGCACCTGGGGGGGGTAAGTTATTGTGACGAATGATCTCGAAAAGCCTCTGGTCTGTTAAAAGTTATCAAATTAATTTAATCCGAGGCCCTGTACGTCAGCTAGTGGACAGCACAGGAAATGAGCGATGGCATCCATCTTTTTTCCATTCATTATTGGATTATTTTTTCTTCACTTCCTGCAGCCCCACTGCCATCACACGCCAGCACACATGCATGCATGCCAGGTAACCCGCTCGAGCTGTGCCTGCACATTCAGCATGCTGTCATCGGGCAGCTTTCTCCTGACACCACGCAGGGCCATTGAGGAGCGAGGGCATCTCAAGCAGCTGCTGTGGCTGGGAGGGGCGGGGCAAAGGAGATTGGGGCTGGGACAAAGTGACTGACACATGTTTGTTCATCTGTTTTTTTTAGAATATATTACCCCTAGATGATGGCTACGGTTTCTCTTCATCCCTTCTTCCCGGCTATGCCCCTCACCCTTGCATGCTGGAATTGGCCCATCTTAGGAACTTCTAATAAGAATACTATTCTGTTGTGGGGGGAGGGGGATGGGCCCTACCACCTAACCTCTGAAGATAAAAAAACAAAAAACAAAAAAATTTAAAAATGCCAAAAACAAAAAAGTGGGGGATAAAATCCTTAATTGTTCAAAATGTAGTAGTGACATCCAAAATAGGCATCTACAGAACAAGTGACTGTCAGTTTACTGTACCAAAAGTTGGTGTTTGAGTAGTGACAAGTCCTTACTGAACAACTGTGTGTGTGATGCTAGCCTGACCTTACCCTACTAATCCTGCCTGCTCTTCTCTCTGACTGTTCTGCAGTAAATACAATATTAACATACGTGATAAATAAAACTTCTCTGCATGTCTCAGCAGTCCCTGTCTGTCTTCTGTCTTTCTTCTTATGTCTGTCTTTCCCTATAAAAGCACAAAAATAGAGAACCCCAACCACTTAAGCCTGGGGAGGGTGGTGAAGGGGGGAGCTCTTAGGATTCGAACCAAGCTTCTGCTTTATGCATAGAGGTGGAGGGAGGGGGAGCTACAATGTCCTAAAAGTACTTCCAGCCCCAATTTTGTAGTCTGTCAGAAATTGATAAATACTTTGGCCTTAGAGACACCTGAGGAACTTCTCTCTCAATCTTACAATGAACATTCATTAAGCAATAGTAAGGGTGATGATGAAACCTGCCAGCCTCCGGTGTAATATCTCCATCTACATAGTAATTGCTTCAATGGCAGCATTTTATGTTGGAGTATTACACACCCGAATTAGATCGGATTCCTATTTTAGCGGTTTTATACTTGATGTACTCCCACATCTACTCACATACGTAGATGAATGCTGAACACGTTCTCAAAATATCCGTATTTAAGATGGGAACTTTTCCAGTCATCATACTACTACTTAGACCCAAAGATTGAGCTGAATGAGAGAACCTGTCTCTGGAGAGCACTGTCTCGGGCTGTGTGTGCATTTGGGTACTTAGTCCCCAAACAGTTCATTTTAATTATTGTGGACCTTAAAACCAAAGAAAGGTTCTCGGCTCTTGTTACCATGGAAATGAGACCTGTTTTTAATGAACAGGAGTGGAATTGCCCTGTGGGGTCTTAGATGAGCTTGAATCCCTAAGTAAATACGAGGGGCAATTAAACACGCACATCCTGTAAAAATTCTTATGTCAGCATAACTGATGTCAGACCATAGCCCCGAGTCTGGACACCCTGATTGCAAGAAGGAGCTTCAAGTTGCATAAACGCAGGAGCAGCACAGAGGACTCGGGACTCCCAGTCCCTTCAGTGCAGGGTGG